CATTAACAGGGAGGAATGGGATAAATAAATATGAAAAATCTTCTGTTTGGAGAGACCGATGCCTTGGGTAATCAGTAGTGATGGAAGGGAAATTCAATACCAAAAAAGTACATGCCCATTTTCTAGATTTCTGCTTTGTTATTTTTGAAATAAGCTTTGTGTGGTAGTATCTTTTTTAGATGTTACTATGTTTTTTTTTTTTTTTAATCCATTTCAAATGTAAGGGGGGTGTGGGGGGGGGGGGGTGGGTTTTGGTTTTTTGGGGTGTGGGGGTTTTTTTTTTTTTTTTTCCTTTGGGATGTGGTTGGGGTGGGGGTTTGGGGGGATGTTTTTTAGGGGGGTTGTTTGTCTGGGGTGTGGGGTTTTGTTGTTTGGGGTGTGGTTGGGGTGTGTGTTTTTTGAGGGGTGTTTGGGGTGTGTTTTTTTGGAGTGTGGTTTTTTTTTTTGTTGGGGTGTGTGGTTTTTTTGTTTGGGGTGTGGGTTTTTTGGATTGTGTTTGGGATGTGTTGGGATGGGGTTTTTTTTGTTTGTTTGTTTGGGATGTGTTTTTTGTTCTTTTTTTGTCTTGAAAAGTTCAAATATATTCTGAGGTTGCTTAATCGGCCCTTTATTTGAAGGGTAGCTCTAAGACATGAGAGAAGCTCATGAAGGGCAGAGAACCCTTATTCCAGAAAGGGAGAGGGAACATGTGGCCAAGTCAGTTTATCATCTGTCACTCGTTGACCTTATCGGTTAGGAGGAATTACAAGCACAGCTTGCTGAAACTTTTTTCTTAACTACCAGAACATAGAACACTATTTTAGGATGAAGTCCATGAAGGGGAGGTGATGAGCTCTAGGGTCCTTATCTGGCCTCCCTGATACAAGTCTCATCTCTTTGTAGGTGTTTGAGTATTTTCTGTGTCATGTTTGCATGTGTTCTTTAGTTCTGTTTCTTTGCCCTCTAAAATTTGATGGTCATTGGTAACCATTTGCAATGGAGCAAACCATGCTCCAGGCATAACTTTTTTGCTCTGCTCCTTGCTTTTCCTTTCTCGTGGGTCTTGTTCTAATGCCTCGTGGTTAAGAGTGGTTTATTCAGCTGCCGTTTTCAGTGACCAGCTTGCTGCAGGGAGATTTTTCTTCATCTGCTTTACACCTACCCAGGCCAAGCAGGAGTCAGTGCTGCAGCTAGGTTAGCTGGACATAAGACATCTGGTCTTTGAAGTCCAACGTCATGCGTTCCTCTGGGGCTGGGAATAGGATGATGTTTCCAGCTCCCAGCAGGATGTGCAGCACTTGCTGCTACTCCCAGGCAGCCTGTGAGGCTGTTCTTTAAAGCTGTGATATTTTTAGGGAGAAAAGAGTCATATCGCCACTTTTTTGTAGATTTCTACTGTTTCCTTGGACTGCTTCATAGTGACTTGGAAAGGCGGCTTTACAAGCAAAGCCATCTAAAATGGAGCATACAGAAATGCTTCTTCTGTCTTCCGATGTTTCACCTACCTGAGCAAAGCCATCTAAAACGGAGCATACAGAAATGCTTCTGTCTTCCGATGTTTCACCTACCTACTTTCCTTTTCCCAAGGAAGCTTCCCTGTGCCTGTGTTGGGATGGAGGGATGGACAGATGCACACCCTGGAGCTGGCAGCGAGCTCAGCCCTCCACTCTAAAATCCCGTTGTGTTGAGGAATTTGAGCCCTGGTCATTAGAGGAGCTCTTGCTTGTGTGAAGCACCAATTTTTGACAGGACAGGGGTCCTCATGGACCTGTGCTTTGTGCTCTGCTCAATAAAACCCCAGCAGACCATTTTCCAGCATCCTGGAGGGGCAGCCAAGCTGTTCCCCACCATTAATTTGCAGCCCTGCTAGTGCAGGGTAGGCACCTGGGACCTCCCCGAGCTTGTGCTGGGCCTGGTGGACAGGAAGGGTCGTGGACCCATGGCATAGACTGCTGAGGAATTGAGGACATGCCATCTCCTGATGACCTCAAGCTTGGTTTTTTATAACTCTTCCAATTTTACTTGTATAAAAACCACACAGAAGCTGTTTCTCTGGAAAATGTCACATATATATATATAAGTAACTGTGAAATCCTTGTGTACTAATTATATCCACAGGGAAAAATGGGGAGAAACCATAAATTGTGATTAAAATAAACATAAGAGTCACTGGCGTCATTAATTTTGTTACCAAATTCACTCATCTTTTTGTAGTAACAGTTCAGTACTGAACTTACTAATCACTTACTCAGTTACTAATGACTTTTTCCTTCCTCAGCCTCTCATGCTGGCCAAAAATGTTCTTAGGCAAACTTGCTTTGTGTGTAAACATCCTCATACAGGCAAAATATTTTCCTTCTGTGCCTGACACTAATGATAGGGTGTTGCTTCAATTTGGATGAAGGTTTGATTACCTTCTTTAAGTGCTAGAAGTCAGAAAATAGTTTTAAAAAGTCATAAACCATACTCTTACTAATAAAAAAAATCTTTCCAAGAAAAATGTATTTGAGAGGAACAGAATCATACTATAATCTTGCATCTGTTTGTTTTTGGTAAGGCTCTCTGCTTATATTAATATATTTGTATGCATTGCAAAAAAAACAGATCATCCATAAAAAGACAATTACAGAGCACAAACCAAGCATTCATAAAACTTTTCTGAGATCTTATAGGATGCAACACAGTGAAAAAGGAGAAGATTTTATTGTCCTATTTTCTGTAATTCTGTATAAATCATTCCATAAAAGTAGCTATCTTGGTTTTATTGATCTAAATTCAATCTGAGTTGCATTGGGATTGACTTCCAAAACTGTTATTAAGTACCCTTTGCTGTGGGCATTTTTTCCATCTCATGCAAAACCCTATTTTATCAGGGTTGATATCTCTTCTATTTGCAGTTGCCCATGTATCTTTGCTTTCCAGCAGGAAATGCCTAGCTACCAGAAAACAGGCAAATCCTTAAAAGGAGAGGATTTGAGTAGGTGTTTGTAAACCACCTCGTGTTATTATCCAGCTTATTTCATTGTCTACATGCTGAATCTGCCTGACAGACAAAATGGTGAGAGTGTGAGATATTTTTGATGATGGATAAGCTATGAGGATGTCTAGGGATTTATTCTCATTCTATATAGTTCTGTGTACACTCATACTTTTCCTTAACAAGTCTCAGTCTGTTGGATTAGCTCCCAAACTGCAGCCTTGTCCTTGTTTAGAGCTGAGCAATGTGGAGTCCAATATTTGGTAGTTTTTGTGCCACCATCGGGGTCGAAAGTCACAAGGACCTCAGGCTGGCTGGAACATGCCAATATTAAGCAGGTGGAAAAGCTTAAACATATGGAAAGAAAGCAAAAATCTCAGAGGGCAAGTGAGGAGGTCTGTTAGAGCAGAAGTGTGTGTGGTAGGGTCGTGGATAGCAGAACTGGGGTGGTTACAGGTGCCTCTGTCACCTCTCAGATCAAGGTCTCCCCTCTGGGAAGAATGAGGTCCTACGTGGAAGTTTTTTGGCTTTGGGGTGTCTCCTCTTGCCTTCAGAGAAGAGTGCTTGTCTCAAAAGCAGTCCAGCCCATGATCAAACAGCTCTTGCTCACAGTTTCTGCCCATGGGACACCAGTAATATCCTGAGTGATGGTAGTTCCTTATAGTCTTAGACCTGCCTTGGGGCAGCTGGAGAAGGGAATGGTGTAAGACATCCATGTGCATGGCTGCTATCCACCCAAAGGAAAATAATGAGAAGAAAGTTCTTGAGTTCCAACCAGCAGATCTGGGTTCCTCTTTCAAGCTCTCCATCCTTAGATGTTCACTTATTTTGTGCTGTAAGAGCTTGACAGTGGATTTGCAGCTCCTCGGAGCACTAGGGCATTGCCCTTCCCTTTCATTCCTTATGGCTCCGGAGAAGGATGGTATCGGGTACAGCTTTGTGTAGAGCCTTTCCCAATGCAGCCCTTACTGCTTCTGATGTACACAGTGGAAATAGGAAGAAGTCCTTGGGTTTTACTAGCAGACAAACCTTGCTATCCTAGCTAGTCGCATTCATCCTACTGTCCTGAACTGTTCAGCCCTGGTTTTAAGTTGAATTTTACTATGCTTGGCTAGTGAAATCCTGTGAAGGGTTTTATTTAGCTTGCGTCATCTGTGGTGCTCTCTAAAGGAAAAATCCTTCTTCAAAGTCATTAACTGTAGTTTAAGTGCATCCTTTTGGGTTTGTATAAAAGCATAAACGTTTTGGAGCTGCTGATATCTGAATGCTCGTGGAATAGCAAGAGAAGCTGCTTTGTATAGTGGTCAGTGCAATGGTTTCGTTACCTTGAAATAAAATCTTGAGCCTTTGCGCAAAATATACAAATGCCAGAACTGCTGATAACCTGTATTCTCCTCATACTCAATTAAAAATAGAAGTAAAGTGAGAGCAGATGTGGGGTAGTAATAGCACAAGTCAAAACACGTTGATTTGAAGTTCTTTTCTTAAAGAAAATGTTTTTTCCCCCTTGTCTCTCTTCTGCTATCTAGATTTTTTTGACATAGAACTGAACATGCTTGTCAGTTTTCTCATCAACCCTGGGGGCTACTCTGTGACATAACTGACAAGCGTGTTCAGTTCTTTCTCATCAACCCTGGGGGCTACTCTGTGTTTTATAAGAACTGGTATAGATAAAGGAAACCGTAACCCACCCAGAAGTTAGTATTTTATACATCTCAAGTTAGCAAGTAGATATTAAATTTCCCCATAAATTAGGGAGCTGGAGATTGCTATCTTTTTATGTGCAAAGTGCACCTTGTTAACAACCAGCAGAAAAGTTCATATTCTCAGATGAGTTACTTTGCCTTACTCTTAAATTGCTGCTCATTTTCTCCTGCGTGTTGATTTATGAACTTTAAAACTTGCTGCTCGACATTCAAGCTGTGTTCCCAAGCTGCGATGCTATCATAACCGCCCAAAACGCAGCTTGCTTTTGCACGGTGCTTAAGGTATTTTTTTTTTCTGAAATAATAAGGCCTCTTTCCTGTCTCTTTGTTACCTGCAGGATTTTGGAGAGGACGATTCCCTCTACATCGCCAAGGTAACGACTATTCACATGGGCAATTACACCTGCCATGCCTACGGCTACGAAGGGCTGTATCAGACCCACGTCCTGCAGGTGAATGGTTAGTAAATGTGCGACCACCCGCTGCAAACGTGTCCCCGAGCAAAGAGAACCTGCTGCAGGAGCCAAGCAGCAAGTGGTGGCCCCTCGAGCTGCCGTGCGGGCAGGCAGCAGGAAAGGTAGCATATATAGGAGGTGGATATATAGCCACTCCATCCTAGGCAGAGAGTGAGCATAAATCAAGCCGTCGGTGCTGTTTCTGCAGAGTGAAGGGGTGTTTTGGAGCAGCTTGTAGGCTGGTGGCTCTTTGCCGACAGAATTGTTGCTTCAATGACTTAAACGTGCCAAAAATTCAGAGTATTGCACAGGACGTGGTCTAGCATCCTCATCCAGCTGAGTGCCCAGGGGAGGGACCACACTGGTCAGTGTGAGTGGTTTTTGCTGTTGTATCCCAGCACCACGATTTGCTCCTGTGCAAACAGGATGCAAAGTGCCCCAAGCTGGCACTCTATTCTTGTGGTCTTGCTTCTTGCCTGGATAAAAATGGCATTTTCAGGGAAAAAGTCAGTGGAGAGCTCTGGGGATACTTGTCCAACTGCAAATGCAGGTTTGTATAAACCAAACCCCACCTGCATTTCAGGTGCTTGATTAGAAAAATACCTCCGAATACTTTATCCAACCTCTGTTCTGATGTGCTTGGTTTTGAGCATGCAGCCTTGCTCCCCACACTGCAAATGCTCCCTGCCATGGTGAGGGCCTGGAGAAGAGCGTAGGCACCCAGCTGATCTCAGTGAAAACTGACTTAATGTTTCCACATCATAATTTGTCATCTTTTTGAGGTAGTAAATGGCAAAGTCTCAGCAATTTGGATAACTCGATTGCGTGTGCTGCAGCTGGGAAAATAGGTTTCCTTCCTGCAAGTGCTGTTTGTTTGATGAATGGCAGCTGAAGCGCAAGTAAGTTAACAGCTTAATCCTGTGTATATTATGTGATGTATTATGAGGCCTGAATGGAGTTGAGTTGGCAGTGACAGTGGGGGCTTTGTCATCGCAGAGACCTGAAGACCCAAAGATTGGAAACTAAAACTCGAGCACCCACAGAGAGCTGAACACAGCATGCGTAGGGGCTGGTTTGTGCCCTTGTGCCTGTTGCTTGGATTTAACAAAAGATATCATTCTTGTTGACTTTATGTTGCTGTGTAGTCACTAAGTGTTGGAAAAAAATAAAGCTTGCTAGAAAATGCTATAGGATCAACAGAATTGTCTTGAAATCTCCGTGAGAGCCATTGGGCTCCACAGGAGTGGGTCTTGGCTGTGGATGGCTTTGTGCCCCATCCCTCACCTGGCCACTTCTGCTCGGGAAGTGGCTCTTGCTTTTCTAGTGAACTACCAAATAAAGGCAGAAAAGGACAAATTGGCAGATTTCCCCTGACACGAGCGGCAGGAAGAAGCCACTGGAAGAAGCAGCTCTGCGCCGTGCTGGGAGCTGTTGGTGTCCGTTTGCATCAAATGAAAAACTCTGCTTCAAATGTCTTTTTTTTGTTGTATTTTATAAGTGAGACTAAGATTTTAAGATGATGTGGCAGAACCAACTGAGACAGAACTTGGGCCATATCTGCTCGCCCATCTTCTGCAGCGAGGCTAATGTGCTGGCAACCTCTGTTCTAGGAAAGCAATTAAATATTTTTTTAAAAAAGACAAAACCAGAAGTGAATGGGGAAGAGCTGAGTGAAGAGAGAAGAATGGGGAAAAAAAATCAACCACTTTTCAACTGCGTTTCAGATAATTCAGTGGCTTTTGAAGTTGTGGTACCTCCTTGTAAAGCCTGTTTAGTCCCATCTGCAGCCTGTCAGCCCGGTATACAAAATGTTCTCTTCCTTACTGCCTTTTTCTGCTGAAAAGAATTGGATCCTGGTTCTGTATGTCTCCTCAGAAAGCTTTTATCTGATACAGTTTCTAATGCTATTAGAGACCTTCTTCTTTGTCTCTTTGGAGCCTAGTACTGGTCTGTAGCAGCTCATCGATTAGGTGGAAAAATAAACTTCCCCATAAGCTTTATGCTTAGGGCCCAGCTTCAGCAAAACTAAATATTTTCTTCCTCTGAGATGTGATCCTGCCTATGCAATAGCCCCTGGGCTTGCTGGAGCTTGTAGAGCTGTTTGGGAACATGACAAGTAACAGCCAAGTGCAGAGGCTGCCTCAGAGCAGTCAAAATGCAGGTTTTTTGCTTTAGGGAGATGATGTGAGGACCACAACACAAACATGTTGGCTCCTGTCTACTGGGCAAGAACCTTGAAACCCATGTGAAATGCAGCACCTAGGTGACATTGGTAACAATGTTTGGGTTGTCACCATCAATCATATCACCACAGCGGTGGTAAAATCCGAGTTGGTATGTTTGCACACCCAGCCCTCCGTGTATTTGGAAGAATGTACATTGGAAAGGCAGAACAAGGTGGAGAAATGAAAAGTGATGCGGAACAGGTAGAAAATTAAGTTTGTCCCTGTATGGATATTGCTTGGAAAAGGTGTACAGCATGCTCACAGTAAAGAGAAGAATAACAATTTATCATTTGCAGGGGAGAAAAAAGTTGCTGAGAATAAAGGATCTCATAAAATTGTAATCAACTATGAGAACCGATAGCTTGCAAATTGAGACTGCTGAGTGTAAGGCATCATTTTCCTTGGTTTGAGCTCTCTGGAAAACATCAACATAAATCAGAATGCTGTATTCCTTGAATATAGTTTTAAAAAGCCATTTGATCTTCAGCCCAATGATAAGAAGCCAATAGGACAAACTTACCAATATCAGAGATGCTTTAAATGCTGTCATGTTTTGTTAATGTGGCATTTCAAGGGAAAAGGTAGAAGGCTTCAAATTCCTTTCAGTTCATAAATGCAAAGATTAAAGGATCCGAAATATAGATTAAATAAGCCCAGGGGTGTGCAGGACCTCTAGCAGCAAATATGTCTTTGGGGCTTGATGCTGCCTCCTGTTCCCCTTATGAGCTACTTTATTGCAATGAACTGCTCTCCTTGCAAGTGAGGCATTACTGGGTATGCAGCTGTGGGCAGCCTACCTGATCTCTTACTTGTTTGAATGCTGCCTTTTTTTTCCTACTTTGCTTAAGGTAATAGCATTTTTGTATTGCCTTTGGCTGCAGCTGCAGTAATGGTTAGCGATGATGTATGTTCACCGAGGGAAATAGCAAAGGATAATCCATATATTCCAAAGCCTGGAGCTGAAATCTTGCAAGTGTTAAGTGAAATGCGCTTGTTTGGAATGTCTTAATTTGTAGCAAGGGCAATAAAAAAAGTATTCTGCATTTTGCTGTTATCACAGGGCAGTTGCATGCAATAATTAACATGTGCAATGAGCTGTACAAGACAAGTTAAGCTAATTCTCGCCAAGAACACCAGTTAAACATCTAGGAGCTATGAGCTACACTTTGCAATACACACCTGCTGTAATTTTGGTTCTGCTAGTGAAGTATGTGAATTTCTGAGAATCAGACTAACATGGAATGAGGCAAAATGTCCCATGACCAATGCACGTGTCCAATTTAAAGACATGTTTTTGCTAAAAGCCCCCCGTTTTTTTATTTCCAGTTGTCCCTAGGCATTTTGTCTCAGGTTGCATTCAAACAATCTCTCTTTTAAAGCTATAAAAAAAACAAGGCAACTTGAGGGCTTTCTGTCATGGCTGATTTCATTCCAAGTATTAACCAGGGCTGATGACTTGATGCTTTTTTAAGCAGCTGGTGGGTGAGACAGGAGTAAAATATATCTTTCTTGTAAGGCTCATGAAAGAATAAAAATAGAAATGGAAAAAAGGCTGTAGAGTGTATGCTAATGAATGTAATTATTCAAACTATCCCATACAGATACTGTGAAATAAGAGGAAGGAGACTTTGCACCTCCCCCACCCCCAACAAACCATTTCAAATTCTTTAATGCATATGAGTAACCATTAAGAAATAGTTAATGGGTAGTATTAAGGCTGCTTGATTTGAGCAGTGAAAGCAACATGATTGAAAATCAATGAACATGTTGTAAGTTGAGATATAATTAGTCGTTCTGCCTGTTGTGCATATTAAATAGTTCAGAAGGGAGTTCCTGAAACAAGATAAGTCACATCTGGAAAGCCTCACCCCTGCTAAAAAGTAATAGTAATCTATAAGTACTGCTGCTCTTCTTCAGGGTAAGAGGTAGTGAACATTTAAGCCATCTCATTAGATAATTAAAATGTTGAATAATGTGCTATGTTCAATAGGAGAAAGTGGTCGGGGGGGTGATTCTTCCCTGCTTCGATTCAGTGAAGCTTGGGCATTTATGCTTTTATTTTTAGACCTGCAAGTATTCTCCATAGGTGTCAGTCCAGCTTCTGTCCAAGTTCCCTCGTGCCTGTAAGGAACAGAAGCGAGGAGGGTCTGGACACGAGGCTGGATGCTCAGGTGGGTCCTTGTCCCCGCAGTGCCGCCGGTGATCCGCGTGTACCCCGAGACGCAGGCGCAGGAGCCCGGCGTGTCGGCCAGCCTGCGGTGCCATGCCGAGGGCATTCCCAATCCCCGCATTTCCTGGCTCAAGAACGGCGTGGACATCCCGCCAAAGCTCTCCAAGCAGCTCGCGCTCTTAGGTAGGAGCAGAGTTTTGACTAATTGCAGTGTTGTAGCTGGGGATTAACAGGATTATTTGGTGCTTCAGAGCAGAAGTTCTGCTGCTTCGGCTAAGCCGTGGCGTTTGAGCTGATGTTGCATAACCCTCCTTGCTCCGTTTCATCTGCTCCAGCAAATGCCTCAAGAAATATAATATTGATTGCTGCAAGCAGAACAGCAGTCTCTTGAAGCAGAGTGTGCCTCTTTCTCCACGGCCTTGCCTCTTGTGTAAATTGGTGCAAATGAGAGGAGAAACGCATTGCACCTGTGATGCAGGTGACTTTTTATCCCCACTCTGTAGAGGAAGTTTGTCCCTTCACTAATCTGGGAAGTTGAGGCATAGGAACAGGAAACACAATAGACACAGTAATAGTCAAGAATATTTAATTGCAATTGAGGCAGTACTTCCACTTCGAAATCAGTTGATGGGAGAAACTGTGGAACCTGCGTTTTTGTTGATCTGATTAAAATCTGTTTGCAGTGTTGATGTGAATATTATCTTTTCCTTCACTAAAACTGACACTTTTTTTACTACTCCAAACTGCTACAGGTATTCTACTGCTTGCATGTGGTATATTTCTGTGTTCATTTGTGGCACAGAAATGCAATGTGCTAATGCAGATAGAGGAAATCAGTCCCTTCACTAATCTGGGTCCTCACTGCTGAAGTTGAGGCATAGGAACAGGAAAAACAATAGACGCAGGAATAGTCAAGAATATTTAATTGCAATTGAGGCAGTACTCCCACTTTGAAATCAGTTGATGGGAGAAACTGTGGAACCTGCGTTTTTGTTGATCTGATTAAAATCTGTTTGCAGTGTTGATGTGAATATTATCTTTTCCTTCACTAAAACTGACACTTTTTTTACTACTCCAAACTGCTACAGGTATTCTACTGCTTGCATGTGGTATATTTCTGTGTTCATTTGTGGCACAGAAATGCAATGTGCTAATGCAGAGAGGCAAAACAGCATCTCATCAGCTGTCATAAGAGTTCCCCAAACATGTGTCTGCATGTATGGGGAGAGGTTGAGCTGAAGGCCGAGGTGTCTCCAGGCAGTGTAAGGCGGTGGGGAGGAACACTGTTTATGGATGTCTTTCTTACAGCCAATGGAAGTGAACTTCATATCAGTAGTGTTCGATATGAAGACACGGGTGCCTACACCTGCATTGCTAAAAATGAAGTGGGAGTGGATGAGGACATATCTTCACTCTTCATAGAAGACTCGGCCAGAAAGACCCGTAAGCCTGATTTTCCATGTGTTAGTTTTTTTTAAGATATCTTTAAGGAATAATGACTTATATGCAATTTTGTAGCTCAGCCCATTGCATGCAGTATATGGGGCTCTTGCTCAAGATAGTAGCAGTTTTGTCTACATATTCATCAGAGGATTGGATTCTGCTTTGAGAAGGTATCGCAGGAGAGATAACCTGCCCATCTGGAGCAGTGATGCCTTCTGTGTGTCAGAAGGGTGGGGTATGCTATGGGTCTTGTCTTTACTGAGGTGATAACGTGGTAATGCTTTTAGCTATCAAAGAATCCAAACCCGAATAATATTTCCTCCAATTATCTCTTTCTGAACATAAATTTCATTGGTTTCTGTACTGAACTTCCTTTCTAAAGCTAGTTGCAAACAAAAGCTTGCAAATATTTATATGCCTGGGGGAAAAAGAGCTGAATGAATTATTTATTTTGCCTGTATTTACATCACCAAATAGTGAAATAGGTTTCTCCTTGGTGTGAAATTATCTTCCACTTCTAAGATGAGCATCATCCTTCCTATTCCCTCTTTCCCAATATTTTTGTTTATCTGGATGAATGTTAGAGTTTTCCCAACTTAAGCAGCTCATTTAAACATAAGTGTTATTTGCTACAATGAAAATTTTGACTTTGTTTTTTGTTGTTTTTTTTTTTTCCTGATTATTTTCTGGCTCTCCCAATTTTCTGATGCTGCAGTTGCAAACATACTGTGGCGAGAGGAAGGTACTGCAGTAAAGTTCTTTCGTTGTAGTGATAATGTGCTTGTCTGCTTTAATAACTCCATAATGGGCCATTCTCCACTGATTGCCACTAACTCTATCAACTTGCACAGTTATCAGATTAAGTACAGACCAGTGACTTAAAAGATAAGCTATTCCAATAAGAAATATCATGCCAGGGATAAGTCCTGTAGATAACTTTGGATGTTTTTTGTACTGTAATGGGCGACCATAAAATATATAAAAATGAGAATTTTGTATAAACTGCTGCCAAGGAAGTAGCCAGAGATTCTCAAGAAGCATTAGTAATTGTACAAGTATCAAAATCACTCAACAATTGCCATAACTGAACAAAGTACATTAGTAATTGTACACGTATCAAAACTCAACTCTCAACAATTGCCATAACTGAACAAAGTAAGGCATAAATTCAAGGCATCTGCCTTTTTAAGCAAGCAATTCAAGCTTTTCCTCCTCAGCGCATGTATTGATGTTTACTAGAAAAGAACAAAAATAAAAATTGTGTTCCTGTCTGTTAGGCAAAAAAGGAAGAAAAAAAAAAAGCAGGTTTTACTTCCTTCTGTCCTTTAAATCAATGCAGGGTAAAGGTTGCCCATTTCTCCTTGTTTTAATTGGCAGTTAAGATCTCTCGTTTGATCAAATTTATAGCGTGCCCTGCACAAGGTCAACATCTGTGTATCTTGGAGGCCGATTTGGAGGAGAAGCCTCCTAAGCAGCTAATTGACTCGAACGCAGTATCCAGGCCCTGGAAGTGGGGCTGGTTTGCCTTTGCTCGCGCCGCAGCGGTGCAGGAGCGTGCGGCTCTGCACGAGCAAGCGGCCATGGGCACCGTGGGGCTGCCCGAGTGTGCCCACCCCGATGGGAAGAAACATCCTGGGCTGAAATAGGGTTTAGAATCTGCCCTTTGCATGCGGGGTCCTTGCTGACCTGCTCCTGGAGAAGCAGGATTTGAAGAACCACTAAAATTAGTTGCAGAAAGTCTTGTTACAGTTCCCTAAGCAATATGGAATTGCTGTTTAGCAACTTTGCACGTTTTAAATACATGGGTAATTAACTGGCAGAACACGGGCAGGAAAAGCAGATTTACCACTGATGTTCTTAAAAATAAGTGCATATCTTTAGAACAGGATTATTCTCCTCTCTGTATTGTTATATACTATTTGATCAGCACAATCCTTTGACACAAAGAACCCGCTGAACAAATGCTATAGCATGTGAAACCTTGGCACAAAAAAAAAGCTGGGAGAGAGGGATGGTATTCTTGTTTTTACATTTCAATATATTCAATTTTTAGAACAAAAATTCTCTGTAAAAATATTAACAAATGGATTGGTAGACTTGAGCTCCTTTAAAATGATCACATCTTTGTGGCTGCAAGGTTTGTAATAACTAAAGCTATTAGTAAAAATGCATATTATAAAAAGGTATATTGCATAAAACAGGCTTCTGCTGCCAGTACAATTTTTTATGCCGTAGTTGGTCATTTTAAAATCCAGTCTATCAGTCTGACCTGAAAACTTCTCACAGACGGTCGCGACTAAAATCTCAGGCAATGAGTGCACATAGTGGGGCCAGCAGCTATGCGCTCCTGGAAGCACAGGCAATGTGTAGGCAACGTGCAGACTGGTTTTTAGGCATATGCATTTTGTGCTGAGAAAACTATGGGCAGCCCCTGTGCGATGCCAGGCTTGCTTTAATGCCAGTGTTCGTTTCCAAGCCAGGGCTGCTTGCTTGCTCCCTGGCTAAAGGGAGTGATTGGTGCCAACAGGCAAGCATCAATTACATAAATGTACACATGTAAAAAAATGAAAGCCTGTCTGATACCAAATATAGGTACTAAAATGCTTCCATACTTCCATGCAATTTGATTAAACTGAGGAAAATTGTTGAAGCCTCTGAAGATCAGAGGCCAGTGCCACTGTGCAGTGTTGCCCTTTGGTCTCAAAGTGAGGGCCAAAAACTCTTGTTGTGAGCTCTCCTCCTGGATCCAGCCATGATCCAGCAAGTGTCTGTAATTGCATCTATGGACCAAAGGAAAAAAAAAGAAAAAGAAAAAACCTAGAGCCAAACTTCCTCTCGAGTGGTTAAAATAAGAAATCTTATGTTCAGAAGACCTCCCTGTGCATTAGTTTTATTCTTAAGCATGTGTTTGATAAGCTGTGAGGTGGATTTTTTGTTGTTTTTTTGTTTGTTTGTTGTGTGAGGTGGATTTTTTGTTGGGTTTTTTTGTTTGTTTCTTTGTTTGTTTCTTAGAAGTAGCTGGGCCATCCATCCTGAAATGTCCCTAATTACAAAGGGGAGGAAAAAGAAGAAAAACCCTGTCTGTAGTCAGCCTGCTCTGAAGCTAGTCCCTGCTTGACTAGTAAAAATTGTGAATGCCACCACTGGCTGGTGGCCTATGTAGCTGCTAGCTTAAGTAGTGAAAAACCTGCTTTGTTTAAAAATTGAGAAGATTACTGACTGCAAGAGCATTTTAATGTAATACATTAAAACGAGGGTATCTTCAATATATGAATACTATGAGGGATTCCTGCCTTATTTTAAGTCATCAGCACAATTTCTACTGTATAACAAGTAATGTAACTTGCCAAGTCACTCACTCTAACTCTCCAGAGGTGAAATCATTACTAAAGTGTTTTTGAGATTAATTAAATCAAGGACAACTAAATTCTGAAATGTGCGCTCATATTGTAATCAGCTCATCAGATAAAATCGCACTACTACCATGCATGAAAATATTACTGAGCATCTTCACAATTGTCAGAATTTATTGCCTGCCTGTTTCCACTGCCTAAGATTAAGGAACTTTTTACTCAAGAAAATATGTGCACTCATTCCAGTCAGGGTCAAATTCCGCTCTCTGCTCTGTATCCTCAGTTCCCCCGGAGGCCGGAGGGAGCTGAGCGTATACTGGGAGTGTGGATTTTGGTCCATTCTGCCCAAGTGTGATGTTTTAACACTATGTTCGTAAAAAAAAAAAAAAAAAAAAAAAGTTAGTGCTGAGGCAGGAAAAGGGTAGTTCTGAGGGGGAATTGGGTAGATTTTGCTACATGCATGATCCTTCCCCGTGGCATCGCATCCAAGGATCACAGCTCCTGTCTCCGCCTGATGCCCTAACTGGGGTATTTCGGGGTATGGTTGAGAGAGACCCAACTTAAATGTTGTCAGCACAACCAATAGCTCTTACTGACAAGCTGCCCTCAAGCCACCTATTTGGCACAGAAAAGGGTTGGTTTTTTGTTTAGTCCCAAATTTTCCAAAAGGCATTTATCAAATTGTATGTTTTTTTGCCATAAAGCTTTCCTGGGTGATTTAGGCCTTAATCCTGCAGATACTTAACACTGGCGCAAGCTCAGCGGGCGTGAGCCTGATTTGTGCCCGTGCCCTTGCCCCAGGGAACGTGGTTTTCCAGGGGGGAGCAGGTTGCTAATTCCCTGTTACGGCCTCACTATGGAGCACTGGCAGATGCCTACCCAGTCCCAGGACCCAGCATGACGATGGTCTTTGCAAACATTCACTGCTGGTGCAATGTAAAAAAACAAATAAGTCACACTTGAATCTTTCCAACTGGAGTGTTGGGAAAAGATCCCCACCATTTCCTCAAGATCTTCCATTGCCACATTTGCATGTAGCTGAAGAAGAGCTATATTCAGTGTTGGGAGGCATTTCTGCTAGGCAGAAATGGGAAAATGCGATCTGAGAGTGCCGCAGCAACAGGCAGTTTTCCAAATCTCCTGGAATGCCCCAGTTGGATCAATGAGTGCTGTTGTGATGCTGAAGTATTCCACATTTGTGAATTACAGTTTGCAAAATTTCAAAAATGTATTTGTTTTGGTGGCTGTGCTTTAGTCCATCTGATGGTTTAGGGAATACATAAGCTTTCATTAATGGAACGTATTTTACTTCATTGCTTCCAGTTTCAAAAAAGAGTCAGGCTAATGGAACAGCTTTCAGATTATTTTTAGCTAAAGTTTGTGTCTCACTTTTCAAATGATTAGCTAACTATTTTTAATGAAATCATAGGGGGGGGAAAAAACCTGTAAAAAGCTGTAAAGTGACAAGGCTCAAATGTCATATAGGGGCTTCTTTTATTCACTTATGCGCATGGCACACATGTGCAAGTCCAGGAGATGTTTACTTGTGTGCAGCTGCTTCCACCAAGGCAATGCATTTTTGAACCTGTCTGTACCTCCTCACTCCTCAAAGCCCTTGTTACATGAAACTTGATTTTGTGAATGCACCGACTGCATCCGAACAACCAACTTTTATGTAAGGTGGATTTTGTTTGTTGGGGGAAGAGGGGTAATTGCTCTTTAAAAAGCCCAAACCATTCAGGATGCATGCAAAAAAATCCCTTCTTGTCTTGCCTTTTCTCCCCCCTTCAAGGCCTCAGCGTTGGGAACGTGTTCTACATCTTCTCCGACGACGGGATCACAGTCCTTCAGCCCAACGAATGCGAAATCCGGAGGCACATCCGGCCGGAGGAGAGGATTTTCACCAGTTATGTAAGTCCTGTGCCCTGCCGTGTTCGCGTCATTCATCATCCGTGTTCATGTAAAGATGATCCTGCAAAAACCCTGAAGAGGAACATTTTCCTCGAGCGTGCGTCCAGCAGAGCAAAGACCTTGTGGATGCTCAGGAGATGCAGATACAGAAATGGAGAGAGTCCCAACCTTTCCTTGCCAGGGCTGGTTCATCCCTGCTGCCGGGTGACATCCTTGTAGCGTGTCTTGGTCACAAGGAGGCCGGGAGCAGCGGGATGTTCCTAGGTGACCACAGAGGTCTGGCATTGCTGGATTTTAGGCTCCTTAGTCTCCAGGTGATGCCATAAGGTGAGAGTGCTGCCAGGTCCAGCTCTTCTCAGCTGTCAGACCAACCTTAGTCTGTACTCTGGAGATGCCACCGGCCACAGGGAGACTTTATCCTCATCTGCCTCCAGGTCGCTACTATCAGAGGAACCTTTTGCTACAGTCACTGGAGCTTGGTGGCCTTCACATTGCACTGCTGGGGGTGGTCTTCTTGGAAATTAAGAGAACTGCACGTTACAGTCCTGTCGAGGATGACTATTAACATCCTACAGGGAATTTGATTGCAAGGGCAAAACATATGCAGAGCTTTCCCTGCTAGGGTTATTCTCATGCCCACAAGTTTTAGCCAGGCTGTGCAGAACAGTCAATAGTGGGTAGTAAATTCCTCGCAGCTGCTGCCTGGCCCCTGCTGCTGCTGGCTTCTTGCGTGAAGGATGGAGCTTTCTTTCTGTTCTTGAGAAACAGTCCCCAGGCTCAATACCTGCTAACACGGGGCTGGAGCAGGGGTAGGTGCTGATGCCTCATCTGCAAGTACCTGAACATGGGAAGGGAGGTAGTTTCCCGAGCATCAGGCCCTCGCACCATGGGCAAGGATCCCCCAGTGACTCCGCTCTGTATCACTTAAATCTCAATAAATTTGCGGTTAATATTCTTTCCCCCATGGGAGTATTTTAATATATCTTACTGGAAATCCAGCCTGCAATCCTCACCCTGAGGTTAGTACTTGGCACAGATTTATTATTAAACTGTCTTTCCGCTGTCGCTTCTCCAAGGCGGGCGCCTCGTGTTTCATTTCCAAAGAGGGGTAAATATTGCCAAGGTGGTTCAGGGAAAAGGCGCAGGAGAAAGGGCACGGGAAGAAAGGAGGGCAGCGCGGCGCTGGCCAAAGGGGACTTTGCTGTCATTATTCGACTGCCTTTCTGAGACACCTCTGACAGTTTCCAGCAGACATCACAGGGGCTTTTGCCCCCAAAAGCTCTGCAGCTGCACTCACCATGGGGACACGATGCCCTTCGTCAAAGTGCCCCAGCTCCTCAGGGTACCAGCAAGCCCCTGCTGAAGCTCATCCTGGGCTTGTGCAGGATTCAGCAGTGAAGTGTCAGGCACAAGTGTCAGCCTCAGGCAGCTGTAAGCAAGATTTTGCCCAAAAGATGTCGTTCCTTTTGTACAGGGAAGTCCCTGTGTTGCAGTAAGAGCCTGTAGGATCCTATTGCCCTTTCCTAGGGCACAAGAACCTTGAAGAAAGCTTTTCTGGAACAAAAATGATCAAGAGTCACAGGAAAACTATAAAGCTGTAGTTCAATCAATGTAAATCACTGTATTTTCAAAGTGCAGAGTTATATTTCTATTGCTAATATAGGCTAACAGCGTTGTAGGTCTTGTCATTCCAGGGCATGCTTCAAAAGTAGATCCATGGACTGTGGGCTTACTAAAATTCAATGCAAGTCTGCAGCAGGGTCAGCTGTTTAATGTCATTAGGTCAAGCCAAGCTGCAGTGGGGTGTGGAGGCTTGTTCAAAGACAATAGTACCTTGTTAGCAGATAGTTAACCACAAGGGTGTCAGTCTTTGCAGCAGATGGGGGACAGAGCCGAGAAAGACGAGGACTGAGGAACACCTCCCCCTGCCTCGTGTGCGACGTGTCTTGCCAGAAGAAAAGAAACAAAGCCAGACAACCGCGCAGGTGGCCAGATGCTGATTGGTTGTGCGCTTTGCAACACTTGTGTTAAGAAAGTATAAAAAGAAGTCGGTTTGGAAATAAAGTTGTCTCACTCTGCACCCCAGACTGAGTCCGTTTCTTCACAAGGTGCAACAGTGGGGCACCTAAAAAAATAATTCTTTCATATTTTCTAGGAAAAAAAGAAATCATCCTAATAGAATCACTGTGGATTTTTTCCTGTGGTTTCCTAGGGTAAACTTCTTGCTGCTTCAAGCCCTGACTTGCAGAAATTAAACAACTTCTCCTTTTCCTTTTTACCCCCTCAGGAAGAGATCTGCCCCAGAGGTGAAGGGGAGGATGCTCAATCCTGCCTCTGGGCTTCTGCAGTGAATGTCAGAGACAAGTACATCTATGCAGCACAGCCGAAGCAGAACAGAGTCGTGATCATCGATACCCAGTTGCAGAAAGCAATGCAGGTACTCGCTGGGGAAGCTCTTTATTCAAGAATGGCGAAAGGCTTTGATACAGGGGAAATAAAGTAGCTTTTTGCCCAGCAAATCTGCTGACCTCACTCCTAAGCTGGGTTGTTTCCACCCGCAAAGCAGCACTGTGTCATTTGCTATTCTGTAACCTCGCTGTCCAAAAAATCTCCTTTCCGGGTGATTATCGTAGTCTCGGAAATGCGCCTGCAGTCAGGCTGGCAGCTATCTTGATAAAATAACGCTAGAACAAATTTCTAACTTATACTCACTGAGCCACTGCCTGACCTCGGTTGTAAGCAGGTTGGGAAGAATGGGCTTCTGCAGGTATAATTCAAGCAGAAATTGGCCCCTGATCTACTGGCCGTAAGTAAGAGTGCAATGGAGTAATGTTTGGGCAGAAAAGCAAGGCCAGCAGCTAGATTACCCATTCCTGGTGCTATCCCAGCTGATTTGAAGCTGATTGTGCAAAGCTGGGTGCAGTAGCAATACCTGGTAATGACTGCAGCAAATTCATATTCATCATGCTCCTATGTGACAGACAGGTCACTGAGTAATTTTTTTTTTTTTTGAAGTCCTTGGATGTTGACCCATTACCAGCCAAATTGCATTATGACAAGTCCCACGATCAAGTGTGGGTGCTTAGCTGGGGTGACATGCAGAAGTCCTCGCCAACACTGCAGGTGAGTCCCCAGGTACCCAGGGATTTTACTCTTTCTTTACTTTGCATTACAGGCAGCAAACTGGTGGCAGGTTGATCACGAGTAATCACCAGCATTTAATGATCTGGGCATAAAGCTGTGCTTTAATTAGCATATCGAGGGCGTTCTATTCATCCCTCACCCGTCCATCCTCCTATATTTTTCCTGCTGTTTAATTTCATTTTGAGCAATGCGTGTGCTGCAGGCTGGCAGCAGGACAGTGCTCTTGCCGTGGTCTGGTTGGTTTTAAGGCCGGTGACATAGCCAAGGGCCATAAAGCCGCAGGGCAAGGGCCAGCAGCCGGCTGCGAGCAGCACATTTGTGCAGCCCACGTGAAACCAAGAGGGTCCAAAGCAGAGGGTACTGCTGGGCTGCAGGGAGCATCCTCGCTGTGCAGAAATGAGCCACTCGCTGCTCCTACTGCCAGGATCTCAGCAGAGCTCTGGTTGGCCTCACCAAAAACGCACTCAGCATAAGCGTGAGTTAAGAGCAATGTCCGTGTTCGCTCAGACATTACGATGACCCACAGTTCTTCCATCTGCAAGGAGTTTGGTGGCATTATACATAAAGAGCAGCATAAAAGGTGAAGTTTCCCATCTTGCTTTGGATCAATAGCCTGGCACTCACCAGGCAGGTTCATGCAGGAGACATCTGAGTTTCTGCTGAAGGTTGCTTCATGTTTGGCTTCAGCTCTGCCCATTTTGTCATTAGTCTCCCAAGAACCCTTGTCCTCTTCTGGGAACACCCATGGAGGATAATGCAGGAGAGTTCTTCTTCTCGGAGGAAAACACTAATTTTGAGCACAGAAGAAGGTGGTTTGCCCACCGCTTCTGAAAATGATGTGTTATGAAGTAAAAAGGAGAAGTACTTGGAAGTATTCTGCAAGTCCCACTTTGCATCCCAAATAAAAAATAATCTCTCAAGGACGCGAAAGGAGCACAAACAGCAACAACAAAGCCTCAAGGACAAGCTGCCCGTCGCACGTCCGTGGCACTTTCTGGGCCGGTGCCTGCGAGCTCCCTGGGGCACAGCCCCACGCCTGCCTTCGGACATCAGCATTAACTCCCCGCTCCACGTTGTCCTGCGGGATTTGCTGCTGTTGGCACCACGGACTCGCCGGCTGCCTGCTTTAAGCCTCTAATTGGACATTTTGCTGCTGCTGAGAAAGCAGAGCTGGTCTGATCCATGAAAAAATACCCATCTGCGCCAGCGACTTTCTGGTATTTGCTGCTATTTTGGACCCGTGTAAGACCTGTGAATATTTGCCGTAAAGATTTGCTGCCGGTGGTATATCAGCGTGTTCCATAGCAGGGCTGTGAAGGACAGCTGGGCTGTGCCATGCAGGCTTCCTCACCTGAAAACCTACAGCTCCAGAGGTTAAATATTTAATTTTTATAGATATTTAATACTAATAATATATGTTGTTATTTAATTTAATGCTAACAAAGCAGATAGAAGTTTTGGAGGCAGCTCACCTCCCAGCAGCTTACACCGTTTCTGAGATGGGGACAAGGAGACAAAACAGACCCTTTACCCTTTCCCACTTAATTTTCCCACCCAGCTATAAGAGCTGTAATTAAAAGAGAGCTGGGGCAAGCCAGTGGCTGTTGAGAGGCACCCCAGGTTCACCTTCCTTGCAAATCCTGCCATGGATGTTGCTCAGCATTTCCACCTGCTCCTTAGGAACTGGGGATTTATCGGGCAGAGGGGGCTGGTGCTGAGCCCTCGGTCGCTGATGGGAGGCTGATGTTCAGCCCTGTCCCTGGCTCCAGGAAGATGCTGTGCAAGGATGGGCATTTTTCTTGGGCAATTTAAATTGGAAGAAACCCAAGCCGCATAAGTAGAAGGTCTTTTCCTGCAAGGGAAGGCTGCAAGCCCCAACAGCCATTGATGCACGTCACGCTCACCAAAGAGCCCCACGAACGGACTCAGGGCCATGCGAACCGTTGCAGTCTTTAACATTTTAATTATTGAGGAAGCCCTGCTCTGCTTTTGCCAGAGCTGCGCAGGGCCGGCAGAGCCGGGTTTCCCTGCTGCCCCGGGCCCGTGCGGAGGGCAGGGAGCCAAGCGCCTTTCCCGCTCCGCATGGATCTTGTCTGGTTCTGCTGATGGACAAATGATGCTTCTCCTGGAGAGGGATAATCAACCGCTGCGACGTCGCGCTCAAACCTTCTGGCTGGCAAATTGCTGCTGTGCGCTTAAGTGAGATAAATATATATGACCACGAAATAAATGTTTATTTGGGACAGTGAGGAATAAGTTAGGGTGGGTTTCGTGTTGTTCCCCCTGTGCTTGCCTGGCACACGCTGAGCCGCAGGCAGTATTTATTGGTGCGCCTTCTCCAAGACCGCCAAACCAACCGATGCTTTGAAGTCATTAATCAGTTGGAATCTGCTCCATCCCGGGAAGATCACTCTGCTGCTGTTCCATAACCTGTATTTACCTTCCTGCCTTCCTCCCGCGCTTGACTTTGTGCTTGTTCATTACAGGTAATACCGGAGGCAAGCGCCGGGGAGGAGCAGCACGTTGTCCGCACACCATTTGAAGGAGTGGATGATTTTTTTATACCCCCGACAAATCTCATTATTAATCACGTCAGGTAAGAAATGGTATGGATGAGTAGCAGCCATGGTCATGTTGTGCTTTTCCCATGCATAATCCTAAGGACCTTTGCAAATGTTAATGAATGAGCAGGGGGACCAACCAAGTATTGCTATGACTGTCCAGCCCTGGCACGAGTGAAGGACCACTGGGGATACCCCTGGGGTGAATTGGTTGGAAAATCGGGCTTCCTTGCCTCAAAACCCACATTTTGAGTCTGGGCAGAAACCTGTATCGCCAGTTTATTGCCTTTCATTGGAAACAGAAAGTGGGGCTCTCCTGCATGTCCCCAGCCCTTCGCTTGTTCAAGCGAGGGTTTGAGGAAGATTTGAGCAGGAAATGGTGTGCGCATTAAAACATTAAAAAAAAAAAAAAAAAAAAGTCACTGCTTTGAACCATCGGTCTTGGAGGCTAATGTGATGTAGGAGTTAATGAGATCGTATAACTGCCACGCTAATAACTCGGAGTGATAGCGACTGCTTCCCAGCAGGAACAGGGAGCCTCCCATTAACATTATCAAAATTGATGGTAACTACACAGCAATTTATACTGTTCTTACCATGTTATAACATAACAACCATTTAATCATCTGCCACCACTACATGTTAGTTTAGATAAGTCAGTTTAACACTCCAAGAATTGTGTCCAGACCTTCCAACATCAAGCAAAGGTTCCCTGCACTGAACACCCAGGATAAGGGGTGGTGCTTAAATGATTAGGAGTGGAATTTGATCCAAAAGAAATCACTCTGCTTCCTGAAACACAAAATAATGAGGCACACTTCATGGCTGTCATTCCTAATTTTTCCCAACCTCATTTTTCCAGTGAGCTTTCAAAATACTGTTATGAGTAATAGTCAGGCTAGGTAGTAGATGACTGTGCTGAATGCTAAACCCTAAGATGAGGACGGATGAGCTGGGTTCAAAGACAGGAAGGTAGAGCAATTGAATTTTTTTTTGTCATTCTTTTATTACCTTTTGCTCCGATATGATTAATCGGCTGTATACAGGTGATCTTCCCTGAGGAATATTAAACGTAGATAATTGTCTGCAGTTTTCCATGTGCAAAACAGCGAATGCTGAGCCTAATTTCCTATTTCATTTGTTTGGGGCCAGATCTTTGTCAGTTCTATCTCACCCTCGGCATAGGAAAATAATTGCTTACGGTCTAATGAGACTTACTGAGATCATGTTCTAAATCCTTCACTCAGAAACAATAAACAGTGATACCAACATTTCCCTGGTTTCACAGGAAGCAGGTGAATATTTAAGCAAATACCTTCCCAGAGCCAAGAAATATTTGCATGCAAATGTTCCTGCGTACGTATTCCAGCTGCCTGTTATTTCAGATGGATATCTAGAAATGTATCCGTTTTTATTAGTTCCCAGGGTAGATTGTTATCTATTAAAACCTTTCTAAGTGCGAGGTTTTCATTGAGGTTGCAGATACAGATTTCGTGTGAGCGTTGCACCTCTCTGCAGCTGCGTGCACATAATACATCTCCTGACCCACTTTTTTTAGAAAGTTTACGATAAGAGCCTGTTTTTTAACTTGTTCAGGCATTTGGGCTAGTGTTAAGGAAGTCTTGAGGAAAAAAAAAAAAAAGCTGTAAGCAAAAGCAGTTTTTAAAGTGTACTTAAAATGCATTCATCCAGGAGAAATACAAGTGTCATATCCAATTTCGCTTCACACAGTGCACTACAAATCTCCACTGCAGATATTTTGTGAAGTCTCTAATGGATGTGAGTATAATGGGAAAATAAAAGGCTTAGCCCAGTGATTTTCATGGGATCATACACTACAGTGGCTTGTGCTTTAGAAGTGAAATCATCGAGTGTTTCATTGACAGATGGATTAAGGGTAAAGAAATAAACCCAGTGTTTTAAGCAAAATATATATACCATCTGCATGCAGGCACATTGTCCTCCACATTTCATAGAGGAGTTTTATATCTTCCAGGGAAGAGCTGCAAAACGAAACACTGACTTCATTTCCTTCTCTGTGCCTTGAATGGATGAGAAGGTAGTCAACGTAAAATTGGTTTTCAGAAGTCAGTGTCAGTGACCTGTGAATCCTAGGGAACGCCAACAGGCTATTTCTATGGGCTCCCTTTCAAATTAAGTAGAAACATTTCTTGGCTGCTCTTGACCTTTCTGTGTGCTCAGTAAAGGTCAGATGTGCTGCAGCATGTACCTTTTACCGAACATTTATTCTCTGCCCACTGTTGCCTGGCCACTCTCGAGGCAGAAAGCAAAGGTCCGTTGCCTTCAGTGCTGGTCATGTTCCTCTGGAGATACGTGTGTCTCTGGGGCTGGTGGCGCCAGGCCGAGCAAGCCCTGGTGTGTGCCCAGGGATGATAACAGCCCTCAGGTCCCACAGGCAGTGAGTGTGCATGAGAGCTGCCCCAGAGGCTCTCTGGTAGGAGAGGAGGTTGGATGTGTTGATCTATAGTCACAAATTACATTTGCAGCTTGAAGTTCCTTTGTACCCCCTCTTAAAACCTGGCCAGATATGCTTTATTTTGAATGATTTTCTATTCCCAGATTGAACGTCTTGAATGTATGTTGAGCTATACCTCTCTCAAATGGAAACGGATCCAGTGCAGCCTCAGTCAACACTGGTCTACCACAAACCCAAACCCTGGTAGCATTTCCATTGTAACTTGGTCTTCTCACTACAAAAAAACTTCTGGTTATTTCAATACCCACACACGTACTGAAGCTGCAGGATCAGCTTGCTAATTTTAACTGAAATAGTAACTCCTTTTAGCACTTTCAGAAGGTCTCCCCACTTGTGCACAAAACCAATAGGACAGAACCGGCTGCTCGTGCCAACTTCTGTCTTTTTGTGAGCATCATCGTGTGCCCTCAATATCATGTTTTCTGTTTCAGATTTGGCTTCCTCTTTCCCAAATCGAAATCCGCAGTTCACAAGATCGACCTGGAAACCGTGACCCACCTCAAGACTCTGGACCTCAGGAGCTCCGGGTGCGTGCCAAAGGCCATGGCTTACACCCACCTGGGCGGCTACTTCTTCGTGCAGTGCCACCGACGCACGTCCTCGGTGTCCCAGCTCATCATCGACAGCGTCACCGACTCCGTCGTCGGCCCCAACGGCGACGTCTCGGGCACCCCTCACATTTCACCGGACGGCCGCTATTTGGTCAGCGCGGATGAAGACAGCGGTAGGATCAAAGTCCAGGCTATAACTGTCCGAGGGGAAATCAAGTTGATTTACGACTTACAAACAAACGTACACGTATCAGATCTGACATTTCAACCCTCCTTCACCGAAGGCAATCAGTACTATATATATGCTACTTCACATTTGCAAACAGATGTGCTTTTTGTAGAGCTGTCAACAGGCAAAATGAATGTACTGAAGAATTTAAAGGACCCTATCACATCCAAAGACTGGCCCTGGAGCAGCTACAACAGAATTATGAAAGACAGTGGGTTGTTTGGACAGTATCTCATTACACCAGCTAAAGATTCACTGTTTGTTATTAATGGGAGACAAAACACATTACGCTGTGAGGTTTCAGGTATAAGGAGGGGTAACACAGTGGTCTGGGTTGGAGAAGTATGAAAGGGCAATAAGAGTAGCACCTGCAGCAGGCAAGTACCGGTTGGACCTTTACACTGCAACAAATGAGCAGTAGCATTGTATATTTTTACACTGGGGGAAAAAAAACAAAAAAATCCTGTATAGCCTTCATGGTACAACACTGGTCTACTTGCAAGTTTTATAATATAAAGTACGCTCTGCTGATAGGAAGCAGTTTTGAAGGGATATTTCTTATTTGGGGGTTCTGATTTGCGGTGATGAGAAAAATGCGGGGAAGTGAATGATATCTCCACTGAGATATTGTATAAGCCACGAAACCTAGCGATTCTCTAGAACAAAACAGCTTTTGAGTTTCTGTCTGGATCAGTTCTCATGTTATGTTCAAAGCCATCGGTTTTTCTTTCCCTTTTGCCGGGTCCCAGATGCAGGGGGCCCATGGAAGCAAAGACTCCAGAGAATACCCACCCAGAGGGGAACTAAGCATCATGGAGAGCAGTTTTCAAACCATGGAGATGTGATAGGGAGGTCTAATGGAAAAGTTTCCTCTGCAGGCTGGCTATGGCAGGATCCCCAGGTGTGATTTGGGAAGACAGCAAGCGTTGCTGTCTGCTCGCTTCTTCTGCTCTTCATTTTGCTCCTGGTGTTACTGGAAGCAATGCTAGGAGAGTCCCACCTCTTCTCTTGCGTATTTGTAGGACTGTGTTTGAGAAACCTGGCTTGAATTAGGGATGTTGGGGTGCATTAAAGCCAGGAAGCCAGAGTTTTTAAGAAGTTCAATTCAAAAGTGAGCGGGGCATCAGTCTTTGAGCAGCTTGCGGCCAGCTTGGGCACAGCCTGCAGGACCTGCCCTTCAGCAGGTTGTGGATGTGCCCCTCGGAGGCAGCAGCACTTATAGAAATTGTTTTTTTTTTTCTCCTTAAATATTTATTAGCACTGAACCCACCTGGTCCTTCAGAAATAACAGCTACAACTACAGGAATAGAGTTTTACTAGAAAACTTTCACACATTTTCTGGTCACAGCCTTAATTTGCCTGTTTCTTTTCAGACATTGTGGGAAACCGTTTTTCTTTGTATTCTGTTCTCATTTAAAGTACACTTGCTTATAGTCAATTATCTTTGAGTTGCAAGCAAAGAGATTCGTGTAAAACCAGCTAAATCTCCCATGAATGCAACAGCTGGCGTAGAAACTTAAGTTGATTTTCCCATAAAAAGGCAGATCTGTTTTTTCACGTCTTTTGAAAAGCTGTAAAAACATTGTGTTTCGCAGTTCTATGTAGTCCTCACAGTAGAGGAATAGGGGCAAGAGGGTGGATTTTCCAAGAGGTGCAGCTCTAAGGCCGGGCATCTCCGAGTGCTCCTTGCCCACGCGCCGCTTTGAGGATGCAGCAGTTTTTGTGATGGTCTCTATGGAAAGGTCTCCCTGAGGTACTGTCTGCTGCATTGGCCTTTGCACAACCCCAGCTGGTTTTGAGACTGACCTCATGGTCCACAGTTGGTACAAAAGCAGCTCCTGGACCTCCCCGGGGTCCTCGTGGTGCCGTTCTTGCTCTGTGACAGCCGTGCTTGGAAGTGTCCCGTTTCACTCTACACGCAGAAGGCCCGTGAAGGAGGAGGGTGCAGGCTAGCACTGCTCATCCTTCTTTAAACGGTGAACTTAGACCAAAAGGGTAGGGCTTTAGGACAGCAGTAGACCTGGAGTGGGTTACACCATCTCAGTTCTGCAAAGAATATATGGAAATCTGCTCAGACAGACAAAGAGGAGATGAATCCTATGAATTTATTGAACCTGGAATCCTTTACCTGGCCCGTGAGCACCCACAGGCTGAGCCCTACATGTGTTTTCTCTTATGAGCCATAGGGGTTAGGAGAGACTATCCCGTCATTGAAACACAGACCCATAGAGCTTGGCACAGCCTTCCTGTAGCGATGCATGATGTCCATGATTTTGTACTCATCCGGTTAGGAAACATTCACGTGTCAAGGAAAGGAGACAACCAGCTTTGTAAGTACCTTTAAATATGCACAACTCCTTTCTGGAACAAAGTTGTAGCCATCTATTGCCATTGTCCTAAATGTGTTTTACTGAGGCCAAACACTGCTCTCGTGTTCTCTTTTATGACTTCTTGAATATTTTATTATGCCTATGGTAAGTTTCCCTGTAGAAATGTTCATTGTGTCATAGATCAAGCAAATATTACTTTTTTAAGACTATTTAAAAAAAAATGTAAATACCCGTTCAGGTCAATATTCTTGAGGCTGATTTATATATAGGCTGTGAAAGATGTGTAACAGACCTCACTTCTTCCTGTTTGTCGCAAACTCTTGGGATCGCGTTCACTTGAAAACTCCCCTTCGACCTTCCAAAGATGTTCCCTCTCTCCCCTCCCGCCCGGGTTCTGGTGATGTGTTTTTCTAAATTAGCCTAACGGTTATAGCTCATACTTAGAAAATGAAGTGCGACTTAGATTGTCCACACTCCTTGTGAACAGTTCCAATGACGGTCAAATCTGACATTAAAGTGCTGCACCTTTGTTACTCTGAATTTTTTATTTTTTTATGACACAAATTTTGTCTGTACTCAGAAAATGCTTGTTTTTGCCTTCCAGCACCCATGGCAAGGATACACCATTTCGTATCCACAGTTCTTGCCTACTCCTCAGCTGTGCTCCACCAATTCACAATTAATTCCTACCTAATAAATTACTAATCACGGTGATTAATCGAAATTAATTTCAGATGAATTAATGAGCATTTAGGCATCCTATAATGTTCCTATATCATTTGGGAGTCGTGACACTAGGATCACAGGATAAATCTTCCCTGGTTGATGATACAACCCAAGACCCAAGATCAGAGGCAAATACCCATGTGGGTAAATTCTCGCGAATGGATGGGTGGTTGTTTGCCAAATACTCACAGGTCAGCAAGACCGAAAAAAAAACATTACTAACTGATTTTAAAGCTAGAAAGAAGAAAAAAGATCCCCGCTTCCCTGCGAATTGCCACTGCCTGGGGGTTGTTATTAAACCCTTCAGCATCTCGCCCCTGCCGCCGCTGGTGCCCATGACACGTGTCCAACGCCGAGGTGAGTGCCGGCCCGGCTTGCGAAGGGCAGCGCACGGGCATTTCCAAAGTGCTAATCAAATTCCCGGCTCTGCAAATTCCCAGCTCCGCCTGCGCCCAAGCCGCCAGCGAGGGGCTGTGTCTGTTATTTCCTACTTTCACCCCACATCGATTCAAGCAGAGCACCCTGGGACACCTCCGGTGGGAGCATGAGGACACCTGGACAGCCAAGCCATCCTTGAGGGTCACCCCATCAGCCAGCCCAGTGTGTATTTATTTATATTTCTTTATTCCCTATTTATTTGTATTTGGAGGTAGGTTCCAACCTTATTTCTATGTAGAGCCCAAGACAATTTCTTCAAAAATATTTATGGATCGAAAATGCGTGCTGAGCACTGGCCTGGTAATTGTCCTGTAGTATCCAAAAACAGAAACGGTTTTGCTTTTTCTTTCCCCTGAGACAGTAGATGAAAAAAATTATTGTGTGAACTTGCCATAAACATATAGTTTTCAACAACAGTTTATGCAAACAGACCATGTGAGACACACGGCTGAAGAACACTCACTGCAAGCACATCTGTCGAGACCTAAATCATGGGGGTCATGGAGGGGTGCACAGAGGACAACGCGTTAGCAATTCATTTGCCTTTTGATAGACAGAAGTCTGTTCCTTTTTGGTAGAGCCTTATGTTTTGACCACATCAGCCCCCAATTTGCCCCTGAGGGATCTCCCTTTATCCCAGATTTCCCGATGTCCTTCAACATGTGTTGCTACGTGCCTAAAAAAAACAGGCGCCATGGGGCTGGAGTAAAGCAAAGCCCAAAGCCAAATGGGGTGAGCAGCTCAGTGCTGCTGGAGCAGGGGCTGTCCCCCCACGGTGACAGGGTTTGGGGCCTTCCTCTTCTCCCATGGCCTCCAAGGGCATTTCCAGCTTGGATTCCACCACCACTACGGACTTCGCAAGGGAAATACCCAAGACAGGGATCCTGCACTTGCTGTGCTGCCAAAAGCACATTTAAGGAATCACTCAAACCCCACAAGATCTGGCGAGAAACCCCAGAGACCTTTGGCGAGGATTTGACAGGTACGTTAGTAATAATAGGAAGAAGAGGAAGGAAGAAGAGGGGGAAAAGAAGAAAAAGAGGAAGAGGAAGAAAGAAGAAGGTAATGACCATCTCTTGTATGTCCCCAAACTCGGTTGGTCTTGGGTGCTGGAGCCCAAGGAGGGCTCCGGGCAGCCCTATAAGAAAACAACGGATGGACCACCCTGCTGCCTGCTTCCCCCATGCACAGGGTGCTCTGGTGCTGTGTCTTGCTTGTTACAATTAGCCCCCTATTTCTGTGTGTTTAATTTATAATTTCAATTTTGTTCTACGAAAAAAACAGAATCAGTTGGCATTCGCACAGCGCTGTTGTAACCCTGCGACACAGATGGCTGATTATCAGCATGTCGAATAGCATCTTTGTAATAGTCCTACGGCAAAGAAAAGAAAAAAAACCCACTTTTGACAAGCATTATTTGTGGAAACAAATTCCATTTAATTAAGACATGCAGGCAGCGCTGAAGGACATCCTGGCTTGTCAACGGTATTAACTGCGGCAGCTCCTGCCGGAGGTTGTGCTTCGCATTGGGCCCGTGTGGCGAAGGACAGGAGCTTGCTGAAGAATTGCTGAAGTTCCCCGGGTCGCCAGGCTGAGCCGGTCGCTTTGACTTATTTATTTCTCTGCATGGTGGACGTGGGCTCAGGCAGAACTGGCCATGGTGGAAATGTGCAGATAAGTCAGTGAATGATGTGGAAAAGCAAGCAATGGCAGCGTGGTTAAACAACCTTGTTTTCCCTTATGTATTTGTTTTCCTGAAGCTGAATTCATCCAAGGTTTTCCGAGTAGGGAGCACTCAGTGGAAATACTGGATTTGCCAATATTTTAGGTGTTGCTTTAGGAAATACATCTGTGTAGAGGAAAAACACCAGAAGACTATTTCTGTCGGCTGCCCTTACGATGGCCATTAATGCTATTAATAAGCCAGTCGCCAGTGGCTTCATTCCTGCCTGTGGGGGTGCT